GTGAGTATGGGCTTAACAGAACCAAATAAAAGAATTTTTTCACCAAACCTTAGGGTTCATGGGTGAGAGGGAGACAGGTTCGGGGAGGGTGGTGGTATGACAATCAACGTTTTGTCAGTAAGTCAGGGCAGCCTGTGCAAAATGAATCTTAACTGATTTACAGTATAGTCAGCAAGTCCTACCAAGTGAACTCTCAAGTGCCCCAAAACAAAAGGGGCAAGAAAAAAAGTTTTTTTTTCATCTTCAAGGGTTAAAATTCCTTTTCCTCCACCTACTGAAATGTTAGCTTTCACCCTGGAACCATCTCCCAGTCAGATGCAAGGAAGGACTTTGACTGATTGAGTTGATGGCTGCGGTGTGGCAACAATGTCTGTTGTGGTTGGCTCATCTGTTGTCATGGAAATGTACCATAGTGGGAGAACCAGGGCAAAGTCCAAGTGTTTGAATCATCAAGTGGATGACCACGCAGTGTTTGTGTTTTCAATAAGAGGAGAAGTGATATGTATTCTTTACACTTTTCCTTTTTTATTATGGGTCTCCTATAAACTATGATAAGAGGTCTAGAGCTTAGTTAATTAAATCTGTTATTTCTATCTCTCTGTTTTTTGCTTTCTTTCTTGAGGCAAGTGTTGAAGTAGAACTGCTGAATCTGAACTAGGTCAAAAAGTAGAGAGTGGACACATATAGTTCTGTACGAGGATATGGCAGCCCACTCCAGTATTCTTGCCTGGAAAATCCCATGGGCAGAGGAGCCTTGTGGGCTACAGTCCACGGGGTCACAAAGAGTTGGACATGACTGAGCGAATTCATTCACTTTTATGAGTGCCTTCTGGGGGTGGGAAGAGAGATTCTCAAAGACTGAGACTTGTTCTTTTGTTGAAATGTGTGTGTGTGTGCACACACAGACACACATCCACACCCACCCACCCACACACCCCCACACACACACACACTCCATAAAGAGAGCAAAAACAATGTAGAGAATGAACTGGAGTGGTCAGTTTTATGGTAGATGAAGAGAAGAGTGAGGAAAACCGCTAGAGAAGGGATAATTTGAGGGGGCGAAAACAAAGAGTCACACAGAGAGAATCACACAGATGGCCACCTTCCAGGTGTCTGTCTTCATAGCAAGAGGAATACGGGAGATTTTTCTATGGAGGAAAACTGTGGAAAGGTTCAGTTTAAGTTGCTACCACCAACAGAAAGAGGATTTCTTCCTAGAACCTTTGAAGGCATCTGGTATTTTGCTCATCCTGCCCCTGAACTCAAGACTCTTACTTTTTAATTAAAGCATTCTTTCAGGAAATACTTGTTTATTGAGGTTTTCTTTCCTTTTTTAAGGCATCCTCCCACCCTTTTCTCCCAGAGCCTGAATCATTTGTGTAAGATATATTATCTATGTAAAAAAGATGATAAAGTGATTTCTTATATCAAGGATTCAACCAAGGGTTAACTGATGCCCTGTGAAACAGATAAATCACATATTGTAAAATTTCAGTAAAAATGTTGAGTTTTGACCAAAGATCTCATTTCACCTCCCATAAATGCAAAGCTTTGGTTGTATTTATTTCAGTGGACTATTGTTTCTTTTCCAAAACTCTTAAGTTTAAATAGTTAATTGGTATTTCCATTTTATATATCAGGAAACCCTACTAAAGTTGTTGTTTTAAGGTTATGGTATATGCTGTGTCCAAGTGTTGTTTATATACCTGTTTATCATTCTCTTGTTCTGATTGAGGCAGAGAGTGAAACTGTAGATTTGCTAGTTCTTGGCTTTCCTATATACCCAGGGCTATGCCTACTTTATAACAGAGGCTTGAAAATATTGTCAAACTAGATCATTTGTTTTGTTTGAGTTCACAAAAGGAGGTAATGAGATCGCTGCAGCCAGACCTCCCCCCTCTCCCAAGCCTTTTGACTTGCAATCAGGAATGGCAGTGTTGGGCACATTGTAAGCCCTCAATGAATACCTGTCAATGGATTGACTGATGAACTGACTCCAAACCCTATTACATTCTTTAGTACTTGTCCCATATGCCTCAACAAGGACTTCAGACCTTACTGATTTGATTAGTCACATTTTAGACTTGTTCTTTCTATTTTGCAAAAAGAATAGACAACATGACTACAAACCTAGTGACCTTCTGAATTTGCTTCTGTGGATAACCTTGAGATAAGTGAATGAAGGTTAACTGTCTAATGAGACCAGTGATAGAGTGACAGCCTTCATAATTAGTCAGCATTGCCCCTTCCCTCCTTTTAATGTCATTTCTCAAGCTTTGTGTTGGTTACTAATCAATCTAGACTTCCTCTGACTTAGCTGATACCTTACTCTCCATTTGTATGTCATTTGTGGGTCTTTGACCTTCTTTGATGTATTCTTACTACCACTCATTTCCCTGCTTACATCCCCCACCCTCCAGCCTCTCACCCCTTCTTATTTCCCCATAAGCTTACTTTTTTTTTTTAAAGTTCTTATTGTGCTAATTCCTATTTTCTGATCCCTGTAACAAACAGCATTTCTAGTGGTCTGAGGAAGACTGAGCTCGCTAAAAGACAGTAAACAAATTCTCATTTAAAAAAAAAAGGTATTCAGCATTGCCTTAAGCAAAAGGACCCCATAGTATCTAGAACCCCTCTTCTATGTGACTCTGTCTGAATATTTAGCAGGAAAGTTACATTTCCAGTTAACCTGCTACTTGACTTGTAGGAAATGAATTGGTTGTCTCTTAAATTCCTCTGTATTTCGTGTTTCCGGTAGCCAGTTCTATGCACAGCTGAGGTTTCCTTACTGCCTTCAGCATGGAGACTTGGCTATGGAAAGGATGAATGAGAACTTTCTGCAAACTGTATATCATTGGTGAATTAAAAAAAAATAAAAAATCAGATAATCTTTGCTATCTAAACTGTGTTCTCTATTTTCCAAGAACTTGGCTATTATGTCTTTAAAAAGTTCTACCAAGGTATTTAATTCACACAAACAGGGATTCTGATCCATGCTATACAGATGAGAGGCAACCAACGTTTTTCTCCTTTCCAATGAAATAGAGAAATGAACCAAATTCAGGCAGAATTAGAACTCAGAATGTTTAGTGTTCTCTAGCCTTGAGAAATCCCAGGTGAGAGAGGAGGGTGTGAAACTCATCGGCTAAACCCTAAGTAGACAGAACTCAAGGGCTTTAGAAAGAGGGTGGGGTTCATCTCATGTGACAGTTTCATTTTGTAGATGGGGAAATCAAGGCCCAGGGAAGCGTAGCTGGCCGAGGAGGATGTGAACTAAATAACGGCAGTTTTAGCTCCTGACTCTCCAGGACTTCCAGGGCTCATTTTCCAGGGTGTGCCTCCTTTTAAAGAAAGACCAAGTTACTCTTTTTTCCCCCCAAACTTTAAGCTTTTTATTTTGTATTGAGGTATAGCCAATTAGCAATGTTGTGGTAGTTTCAGGTGAGCAGTGAATGGACTCAGCCATACACGCACATGTATCCATTTCCCCCCAAACCCTCCTCCCGTCTAGGCTGGCATATAACATTGAGCAGAGTTCCATGTGCTATACGAGAGGTCCGTGGTTACCCATTTTGAATACAGCAGTGTGTACATGCCAAGTCATTCTTTGATATGAGCCAAGGCATTCTCTTTGACAACCACCCTCCCCTCCTCCACCTCCCCCAAAACCATCATGTAGATACTTCTCTGGATTCACTGGGCAGAGTTATTAATACAGGTAGACTGTCAGGAATGCAGAGTGTTAATATAGCTGCTGAATAATACACTAGTGCCACAGAGTGTAATAACAGATGGTAAATAATATCTATTATTATTAGATATTATTAGGACATCAGAGGATGATCAGGGAGCGGGGTCGGAACGCTGAGCTTGAGGAGGCCTGGGGTCTGGGCGCGGGGCTGTGGGCGGAGGGTGGAGACAGGAGCTGAGAGGTGTCGTCTCGGCCACGGTCCAGCAAGCTTGACAGTGAGCTGGCTTGCATTTCTTTCTCGTCTGCACCAGAGAAAGCCAGCTGCCACCCATTATTAAACCTGCATTCTCTCCATGAGAGAATGGGATATTTCCCTCCTCGCTCTTTTAAAATAAGGTAGAAAGCAGGGGGTGGGGAATTAATTAATGTCAGTAAATGAAGCATGGGCTGCTTGTCCGGGTATGATAATGACTGTGAATTAGTGCAGAAGAAATAGAATAGTATAGAAAATGAACTGCACTGGCACAGTGCTTTGGGACGGACTCGGCCACCCCGACAGTGCATTAACCCTTCCCTTGCCGCATCTTTTGTCCGGCCTCTTGTCACTCTGGGAAAACCCGCACCTCAGTCTCAAGGCTACAGTATTCTAGCTAGAGGTTCCACAAGGGAGCCCCGCCGGCTAGTGACGGTACACTTTTAGGATGTAAATAAAACAACTCCTTGTTTACTTATTAAATTAATGAGGCCCCAACAAAAAGAAGCTATAGCTTGTTATCGGCCAGTTAGGGGAACTGCACAATGATTCAAGAAGGCAGTAAGCCTGCTAGAGGAAAGAAAGGGGAGTAGTTTCTCAAAATAGGTTGCCCCCTCTTCCCAAAGCCAAGGTTTACCTATAGGCTGCAGTGGCTAACCTTCACCCCCGCCTCTACATTTTCGTATGTGCTCCAGGCTGTATGCTGTTTGAAATTGACTGGACATTCCTTTGTGCAAGGCACTGAGGAGTAGGCAGAGCTGAATAGTACATGCTCTATATTCCAGGAGATTCCTCCTCAAGGGCGTGGTATAGTGCACTTGGTATATAGTAAACACTCAACAAGCCATTGCTATTATCAGCATCATTTCATTGAATTTAACTCATAGTGGATTCTTCTTTGGGGACAGAAGTTTCAGAGGTTCAGAGAGCCCTTGACCACTGTCTTTACTTTATGTTTCTTTTCTTCCCTTTGTTTTCTCTCTTCCTTCTCCTCTCTGCTTTAAAGTTCTTGGCCCACTGGTAAAATGAAGAAATGAAAAAACATAGTCACCATAACCTTTAAATGTTAACACTTAAGAAATTATTTGTTCACACAAAAACCCACTGAATGCAGTGTAGTCACAAACCAGGAATCTCTAAATTTAGAGAGGATATTAATTCACAGTCTGCTATGGGCAGGTGGCCCAGGAATGGAACCCCAGTTTAGAATTGTTTGTTGACATTTTACATTTTTTTGTACCCTCTTTAGTGGTGGCTCTATATGCAGAATCATTTGGAAGTAATACCCAAAGACTGAATTATGTTATGTTTGATATTTTCTTAAATATACTCTGGAACAACAAAATGAGAGAATTGAAACCACGTTGATAATAATTGTTGAATTGAGCAATAGACTGTTAGTAAATGTTTGAACATCACTATAATGAAACCAATTTCAGAAGCTAAAATGTGGAGGAGTCCTTTGGAAATATAAGCCTGGGTGAATGTCCTCTCTGGGTCCCCCACGCTGCTGTTCCTTCAAGTCTTTGTGGGTGAATGGGGATGCTGTGTGTTCCTGGGATGGGCCAACATACTTCTTAAGGGCGTGGAGTTAACAGGAGATGCCTCCTGTTCTCCTGGGAAGTCTGTGAGCCTTTTCTTAAGAGACCAGCTTGTAGCTTGAGCAGGTATACACTCTGCCGCTTCAGTCTTCACCTTTTGTTTAACCAGTTGATGTAGGAGGCAAATGTAGAGATACTTCTTCCTGGGGACAAGGCTCTCCCAGAGCAAAGCAGTCCATTTATGTGAACAGATTTGTTCAGCTACTTGGTGGCCTCCCTTTGGAGGCAAGAGCTACTTGTGAGATTTGGGGCTTGTCTGGTGAGAGAAGGGGCTTAAGGAAAAAAGAGAAAAATAGGATCACAAAGGAGATCCCCATGTCTGGAATTTTCTTTTTCCTCCCCAGCTTATTAGAGATAGCTATACCACACAAATTCTATGTATACTCATGTCTGTGAGGTTTTGTGGGCTTGTCTATTAGAGGGTGATGTCGGTGATATAATCTCTGTGTATCAGTGATTTGTTTGGGCACAAGGAAGCTCATAAAAGTGGGTGGGACTTTGGTTATAATCAAGAGAGGAGCTATTCACGGGTCATTCAGATTCTGTTTCATTTATTAACCACCGAACAGAAGGACTTCTGTATGCAGACCTAAGACAATGAGTAAAGGGGCTTCCAGACGAATTTACAATTTCGCTGGGACCCATAAGAATATATGGGCTTCCCAGGTGGACCAGTGGGAAAGAACCCGCCTGCCAGTGCAGGAGGCATTAGAGATGCAAGTTTGATCCCTGAGTCAGGAAGATCCCCTGGAGGAGGGCATGGCAACCCACTCCTGTATTCTTGCCTGGAGAATTCCATGGACACAGGAGCCTGGTGGGCTATAGTCCATGGGGTCTCAAAGAGTCGGACAGGACTCAAGTGACTTAACACCACATCCACTCGTGCACAAGAGTATATAAACGGACGAGTTCCCGTAGGTACCTAAGAGCAGACTGAAGTCTATAGGTCCCCACAGGCTGAGTTTTAATAATCTCCTTTTCTAGTATCTTCCATGGTCTAGCCGACCTTCTGAATCTATCCAGTATTGCCTGGCTTTAAACCTATGATGTAAGCTTTTTTCTTTATTAAAGTTTTACAGTTTTTTTTGTTTGTTTCTCAAATGCTTTCTTTTTTTAGGAGGAATCTGGTTGATATTTTGGGGGCATGATTGTATCAATTCCAATTCCACTCTGAAGAATTCCTTTTGATACATGTGTCGCTGTGTCATGCCTGCATTTGGGCAGGCAGGGCAGGCTTCCTGGGTATTCAGGACACAAGTCCATCTCTGGACTATGCTACTTCTCATAGATTTTTTTTGGGGGGGAGGGGTCCTCTTTGCTTTACAAAAGAGTTCTCTTTAAACTGGAAGAATAACAGCTTGATGGGCATCGAGTTTTTGTCCACATCCCCCAAATGCAGGAGGAGACAGACAGACAGCTGCATTCACCTCACGAATACCCGACTGACTTCACAGAGCCTATTGACTCGCTGGCGCTGCCATACCAAAATACCACAGACAGGGCGGCTTGCATAAGGGACATACATTGTCCCAGCTCCGGTGGCTGGGAGTCCAAGACCAGGGTGTCGGCAGGTTCCGTGTCCTCTGAGGCCTCGGTTCTCAGCTTGCGGGTGGCCGCCTCCTTGCTGTGTCCCCACACGGCCTTCCCTCTGTGTGAGGCCCGATTGTTTGTTCATCTGAATTTCCTCCTGTTATGATGACACCAGTCATATTGGATTAGAGCCTCCCCAGATGGCCTCATTTTAATATAATCACCTCTTTAAAGAGCCTGTCTCCCAATAAAGTCGCATTTGGAAGCACTGGGTGGTTTAGAGCTTCAACGTGTGAGTTTTGGAAGGACGCAAGGGTGGGTGGTTCCTTCATACCGGGACACAAGGGTGAGGCAGATCTTAAAAAAAGCAGCCACTGATCCCTATGCTACCTCGGCTCTGCCTTCTAGAGACGCCTTCAGAAGCTTGCGTTTGGGCATACTTGTAACGTCCTAGACATGGGAAATTAATTACGAGAAGTGCCTTTATAACAACCATAAAAAAGGTGAGTGGAAAGGATCATGGCTCCATAAACTTTTATCTTGTTTGGGTAGCAGAGGCCAGCACTAGTAGCATTTCCCACACACTGGAGGGAGAGGGGGATTTGGCAGTAGGACAGGAAAGAGCGTAAAGTTGAAGGAAAACTGTCATGTCAGTTGGCGGAAAGAAGGGGAGAAAAAAGAAACAACTGGAGAGGAAAAAAAGACAAGGGAGTGAAAGCGTGGGAGAGGAGAAGTATGAGGCGCGGGAGGGGCAGGGGGAGAAGGGGCAGGACGGAAGAAGGTGTGGTCACGGGAGAAGCAGAGAAGAGAGAGGAATTAGCACGGCCAGCATCTGGAAAGAGAGTTCGGGACTTCCCTGGTGGTCCAGTGGTTAAGATTCTGGGCTACCAATGCAGGGGGCAAGAGTTCGATCCCTGGTCAGGGAACTAGGATCCTGCATGCTAAACAGCACAGCCAAATGAATAAATAAATACTCACCTGCTTTAAAAAAAAAACACAATAAAAATGTGGGAGAGTTTGTGTGTTTCCTTCTCCTAGGAAATCCAGGGCTTCCATGAGGACAAAGTGTGTAGATCAGATGTATGCCAACAGGAGCAGAAATTAAATGTGGCCCTGGAGGGTGCGGGGGTTGGCTGAGGACCGTCCCGCAGTAATGAGCACAGATGTGTGCACAGGCCAGATATGTCTCGCCAGGGCCTCGGATGACTCAGGCTTTGTCGGTGCCTTTGGAAACCGTGAATGAGAAAATAACTGAGTTGCTCTTTCAGGCGATTTGGTTTATGGGTCCGAAGCTCTTAGTAGCTGCCAGGCCATCCGTCTCCCCATGCCCCCTGTGAGATACTCCAGAAACTAAAACCCAGTACTGTCCTCCTTTTTCCTGAAAGCCTTGGCAATGGTGTTGACTTTCTTCCCAAATTCTAAGACGGGGACACACTGGGTGGTGTGGGTATGTCCGGTGGATGTGTAACTTAAGAAGAACAACGCAAATGTGTGTTGTGCACTCCTGGGGACCTCTATGTAGGTGGTTTTCACCCACCTCTTTTTCTTTTTTTTTTTGAAGGCCCACCTGGTCTTAGGATTCCCAAGCCTGTTCCTTGAACCCTAGAGTCAGAGCTCAAGCTTCAACATGGATTTCCCTCCCTTTCCTTTGGTGATAACAAATTATGTTGACAGACAAACGCAGGATTGGGCGGGGAGATCTGTGAGACAACAGGATTTTGGAAGCTCAAGCAAGCAGACGGCAGCATGAAACCGAGAAGGACCATTCAGATGGGCCGGGAGGTGACAGGGATAAATCTACGCAGAAACGAAGCCTGTCCTGGAAGAGACAGGGAGGTGAGTGCAGGGAGAAGCAGTTTCTAAATGCCACGGCTGCGCTCTGTTCAGACGCCTGCACTTTCAGATAAAGCTCTTTGGCTTCAGACAAGACATTTGTCCTATTGGTGCCTCGGTTTCATCTTCTGTGCAGTGGGAATACTACTTACCCTACTTACTTCCCTGGTTGGCTTTGAAAGAAAAATCAGGTGGGGAAATATTCTGAAGGGACACAAGGGTGAGGCAGATCTTAAAAAAAGCAGCCACTGATCCCTATGCTACCTCGGCTCTGCCTTCTAGAGACGCCTTCAGAAGCTTGCGTTTGGGCATACTTGTAACGTCCTAGACATGGGAAATTAATTACGAGAAGTGCCTTTATAACAACCATAAAAAAGGTGAGTGGAAAGGATCATGGCTCCATAAACTTTTATCTTGTTTGGGTAGCAGAGGCCAGCACTAGTAGCATTTCCCACACACTGGAGGGAGAGGGGGATTTGGCAGTAGGACAGGAAAGAGCGTAAAGTTGAAGGAAAACTGTCATGTCAGTTGGCGGAAAGAAGGGGAGAAAAAAGAAACAACTGGAGAGGAAAAAAAGACAAGGGAGTGAAAGCGTGGGAGAGGAGAAGTATGAGGCGCGGGAGGGGCAGGGGGAGAAGGGGCAGGACGGAAGAAGGTGTGGTCACGGGAGAAGCAGAGAAGAGAGAGGAATTAGCACGGCCAGCATCTGGAAAGAGAGTTCGGGACTTCCCTGGTGGTCCAGTGGTTAAGATTCTGGGCTACCAATGCAGGGGGCAAGAGTTCGATCCCTGGTCAGGGAACTAGGATCCTGCATGCTAAACAGCACAGCCAAATGAATAAATAAATACTCACCTGCTTTAAAAAAAAAACACAATAAAAATGTGGGAGAGTTTGTGTGTTTCCTTCTCCTAGGAAATCCAGGGCTTCCATGAGGACAAAGTGTGTAGATCAGATGTATGCCAACAGGAGCAGAAATTAAATGTGGCCCTGGAGGGTGCGGGGGTTGGCTGAGGACCGTCCCGCAGTAATGAGCACAGATGTGTGCACAGGCCAGATATGTCTCGCCAGGGCCTCGGATGACTCAGGCTTTGTCGGTGCCTTTGGAAACCGTGAATGAGAAAATAACTGAGTTGCTCTTTCAGGCGATTTGGTTTATGGGTCCGAAGCTCTTAGTAGCTGCCAGGCCATCCGTCTCCCCATGCCCCCTGTGAGATACTCCAGAAACTAAAACCCAGTACTGTCCTCCTTTTTCCTGAAAGCCTTGGCAATGGTGTTGACTTTCTTCCCAAATTCTAAGACGGGGACACACTGGGTGGTGTGGGTATGTCCGGTGGATGTGTAACTTAAGAAGAACAACGCAAATGTGTGTTGTGCACTCCTGGGGACCTCTATGTAGGTGGTTTTCACCCACCTCTTTTTCTTTTTTTTTTTGAAGGCCCACCTGGTCTTAGGATTCCCAAGCCTGTTCCTTGAACCCTAGAGTCAGAGCTCAAGCTTCAACATGGATTTCCCTCCCTTTCCTTTGGTGATAACAAATTATGTTGACAGACAAACGCAGGATTGGGCGGGGAGATCTGTGAGACAACAGGATTTTGGAAGCTCAAGCAAGCAGACGGCAGCATGAAACCGAGAAGGACCATTCAGATGGGCCGGGAGGTGACAGGGATAAATCTACGCAGAAACGAAGCCTGTCCTGGAAGAGACAGGGAGGTGAGTGCAGGGAGAAGCAGTTTCTAAATGCCACGGCTGCGCTCTGTTCAGACGCCTGCACTTTCAGATAAAGCTCTTTGGCTTCAGACAAGACATTTGTCCTATTGGTGCCTCGGTTTCATCTTCTGTGCAGTGGGAATACTACTTACCCTACTTACTTCCCTGGTTGGCTTTGAAAGAAAAATCAGGTGGGAAAATATTCTGAAAGCACCAAAGAGCTATAAAACATGTTACTACTTTTTAAACATTCTCCTACCGATGTAGGGGTTTTTCCTACAGCTTCTCTGCCTGGACTTGTTTCTATGCCCCCATGTCCTGCCCAGATGAATATTGTTAGTCATGGGGAACTTACTAGCTTATCACTGCCTTTATTGCGAGTCATTTTTTTTTTACATTAATTTATAATTTTTAGAAGAAGATTTTGTATTGAGCCCAAATCTGCCTGATTTTCATCATCACCAAACATTCCTATAGTGCTCACCAGACCCACTTATACATAGTAATATTTTTTATGTTTATTCCTCTTAGCAATCCTGTAAGGTGGGTACTGTAATTATTCCAATTCTACCTGTAAGAAAACAGAGGCATGGAGAAGTTAGGGGACTTATCTGAAGTCATGTGATGAATTTTTATCCTCTAATCCTTGTTTCTCTGGCCATAGCTGACCCATAGTATTGGAAGACTGCTGTTTTGCCTTCTCTGAGCCCTTCATTTGGCAGACTGCTTCTTAACTATCCCACACACTCTTCCTCACATGCCACCTCTTAAAGTATTGTTCCAAAGGAGGGCCTGTTCTCCAAGAGTGCTTTGACTTATATGGAGAAGAGTTGCATTTCTGGGTTTCCTTGGGTCTGGTCTGCAAGGGGCATCTTAAGGAAGAAAGGATGTGTTCAAGTTGGGCACCCCTGCAAAGGGGTTGAATCGCATCTGCTGGCCCACTGGCCCCAGCTGTCGGATGAAGGGGACCAGGATCAGCTGTGACCTAATTAAGAGTCTCATGAACCTGCATTGTGTCCTTCATTTTCCAGCTCATTGGCCAGCCAGAGCGGGAGGGAAGATGGATAGGGTTCTGGTCAAGTCCCTCCTGCCACTACCACGTGGCCAAGGTCACCAGCCAGTGACGTCCGGGGGAGCTGAGGAGGTGGGCTCTTTGTTGTCCTTTCTGAGTGAAGCTGGTGGGGAATGAGACGGAAGAAGAGGAGGATTAGCAGATTCAGGCCTCACAGTGGCTCATGGAAGGGGAATGTCTCCTCATGTCCTTTGTAGAGAGAGTCATTCCTGATTTGGCATTCTGTGACTGTCAAAATAGCAAATGAATAGGACCCCACACAACTCCCCAATAGCTAAGCAATAAAGAATCTGCCTGCAATGCAGGAGATGCAAATAGACATGGGTTCGATCCCTGGATGGGGAAGATCCCCTGGAGAAGGAAAAGGCTACCCACTCCAATATTCTGGTCTGGAAAATCTCATGGACAGAGGAGCCATTCATTTTCCAGCTCATTGGCCAGCCAGAGCGGGAGGGAAGATGGATAGGGTTCTGGTCAAGTCCCTCCTGCCACTACCACGTGGCCAAGGTCACTGGCCAGTGACGTCCGGGGGAGCTGAGGAGGTGGGCTCTTTGTTGTCCTTTCTGAGTGAAGCTGGCGGGGAATGAGACGGAAGAAGAGGAGGATTAGCAGATTCAGGCCTCACAGTGGCTCATGGAAGGGGAATGTCTCCTCATGTCCTTTGTAGAGAGAATCATTCCTGATTTGGCATTCTGTGACTGTCAAAATAGCAAATGAATAGGACCCCACACAACTCCCCAATGGCTAAGCAATAAAGAATCTGCCTGCAATGCAGGAGATGCAAATAGACATGGGTTTGATCCCTGGATGGGGAAGATCCCCTGGAGAAGGAAAAGGCTACCCACTCCAATATTCTGGTCTGGAAAATCTCATGGACAGAGGAGCCTGGCAGGCTATAGTCCATGGGGTTGCAAAGAATTGGATACAACTGAGTGAATCAGTGCGCATATGGCTCCATATATATGAATATATATATACACACGAAACTGTCAATATCTGGCATATATTGTGTATTTTACAGTTCTTTAGGAACAAAGACTGAGTTGAAAGTGAATGCAGTTTTATCTTCCAAGGAGCCCCAGCTCCTTACTCCAAATCAAATACATAATCCCTGTGCCACAAAGCTGTGTGTGCTCTTCAAACTTCCTCCTGTTGAAAGAGTGCATCCTCCGTGAATCACTGGTAAAGTCTACGGAATTCTCAGCTGGGAATGTGTCTGAAAGAGTTTCCTCCTTCCTCATCTTTAAGAAGAAACTTACTAGTTTCTTTCTGAAATCCAACCATGGGAGCCCAAGTACCAGTCGGATGTGGCAGAAAGAATATGGCATTTGGGCCCTCACAGGTGCTGGGTTTATATCCTGCCTCTGCACTTTTATTTGAGCAACATTGACGCTGGGCAAGTTACTGATCTCTTTAAGCCTCTGTTTACTTATCAATCAAATTATATATAACAACCCTGTGAGGTTGCTTTATATTGAGGAAGAAATGAAATAGTATATTTGACATAAATATTGAAGGCCTGTCACTCAGTGATGCATCAGAGAAATCCCTCCTGCCTCCCTCTGATCCAGCAGGTCGAGTATGAGATGGATGTGACTACACCGCGGTTAAGATCTCTTAGTGCAGTGATCCCAGATTTCTGGATTCTTAATCCTGGGAATAAATTTAGGATTGCTAACATTTTTGTAAAACATTTTAAAAACAACTGCCACCTAGGAATATATTTCAAAAGACATGTTAGCATTCCCAAAGTAAGTAATTCAGCCTCCGTCCAAGGGGTGTGTGGAAAATAAGGTTATGCTTATCAAGTACTTAACTGACAGGCACTTAAACAGTGCTAAGTATTGTGTTTTGTATACTAGTTTTAGTATTGGTATAGTATAAATGTTGAAAATCAAGTCCAAATTCCCTAAAAAAGTGAAAGAAAGTGAAAGTCGCTCAGTTGTGTCTGACTCTTTGCCGCCCCATGGACTATACAGTCCATGGAATTCTCCAGGCCAGAATACTGGAGTGGGTAGCCTTTCCCTTCTCCATGGGATCTTCCCAACCCAGGGATTGAACCCAGGTCTCCTGCATTGCAGGCGGATTCTTTACCAGCTGAGCCACAGGGAAACCCAAATTCCCTAAGGTAAGGTATAAATAGGCTTTTATACACAGATATACCATTTCTACCACCCCCCTTAATATACAGCTACTTACAGACACACCCCAACTCCAACCTGGGGGATCCCATACATAAATGTCCCCAGGGACCAAGTGGATACTGTTATTCAGTCAGAAAACTGTGGTGGGCAGTCAGCCTATCTTTTGTCTTCCATTGTTGATTTAGACATGGACTGAAGCTCTCAATAACCATCAAAGTCAGCATTTAAATGACTAAGAATAATATTATTTTGTTATACATCCAAGAATATGTTTGTGTGAAGGCATAAACTCTGCCAAGTGTAAAAATTAGTTTAGAAAATGAGTACAGACTCCCTCATCTTAATTATTATATTTCAGCCCTGTGGTTTTGCCTTTGTATATATCTGTAACTAGTTCTGGTTCTGCACAGAAATCTTTAAAGGGAAATAGTCACAGATGAGGCTTCCAGAGCCACAGGGCACTTAGCAGGTAATGGAGAACTATGTCACATGGTGGACCTTAATACATTTGCATGTGTTCTTCTGGGGGTGTTGTGCATTTCATGTCCCAGTCCCCTGCTCTCAGCACTCTAAGCTTTACAGTCTTCCAATCAACCTGATGAGTAATTAGTTGGGAAAAATTCCAAACGGATCTCATCTTTGGATTATCCTCTTTTGGAGGAAAGCTGTGGCTCTTCCTTCTGCTGATAGGAAGGGAGGCAGCCTTAAGTAGGAGGTAACATCTTGGAAATGAAGAAGGCAATGGCACCCCCACTCCAGTGTTCTTGCCTGGAGGATCCCAGGGACGGGGGAGCCTGGTGGGCTGCCGTCTAAGGGGTCGCACAGAGTCGGACACGACTGAAGCGACTTAGCAGCAGCAGCAGCAACAACAATATCTTGGAAAAGGAGAAATTTGATGCATAGAGCTGAAAGGACTTCATGTGTTGTAGTAAGATTTTTTTATTTCAAAACCTCTAAATCCCAATATGTTCTAAATCATGACAAAATAAAAACCAAAATCAAATCAGGGTAATATAAAAACAAAACTTAAAATCCAGATTTGTTAAGTCCCAATGTGAGGACGGTGTCAGCATGGACTGAAGTTTAAAAAGCTGAGATAACTTTTCAGCCTGTGGGACTGTCCTTCTCTAAATGTAAGATGCCTGCAAAGGGGGTGGAGAGGTACTGTTCTTTTCTTTTGCTCATTCTCCTAGGAGGTGGGCCTCAGTGCTTCTGTCTCTAAGTCCTGGCTATTTTGGAGAGATTATCACTAGGACAGTCACTTAGCACAAATGTGCAGACCTAGTTTCCGTCCACAGCAACAGTATTTTCCATTAAGCTATTCTTTTTGAGATGTAATTGACATCCGTGTTTAAAACTAGCCTTCACGTAGCTGTTGCTATGAGAAAGACGTGGTGCTTAGGTTGCCTCCTCGTAGTCTAACAGAGGTTTTGGGCAGGTGGTTTTCAACCATTCGCTCTAATTCTGTGGAAAGCAGGGTTAGAAGAAATGCCTAACTCCGAAACACTAGAAACCCACATCCAGCCTGTCTGGCTGCTTGGTAAACAGAGGGAGACCACACTGACATGCAAAAAGTCTTCCAGAGATTTTTGTTGCTTTATTTCCATTCTTCAAACTCAATGATAAGGGAGCAGACAAAAAAATGTCTGAGTAATCAGAATGGTTTAGCTGTACCCTTAAGTAAGCGTTGGAGTGTGGGAAAGAAAGCAGTAGATTATGTGGCTATAGCTATTGAAAGAACACTTGCAGCCCTGCGAACTAACTCCTTGACTATTTAGGTAATATTCCTCTCATGTCTAGAGCCAACCTGATAAAATATATGGTTCCTGCCCTGAGATGCAGATAGAGGTACCTCCAGGTTACCGTATGTATTTATTATGAATTACATGAATAAATCACTATCCCAATAGAGCAAATGCATTGCTATTAAAAATTAACATAGACTTATTGTTTTCTGTTATCCTTATCATTTTCCCTTTAATGAAACAACACTTCGGAATACTACCTGGTAGCCCAAGGCGCCTCTGAGGGTGAGGTGTATTTTGCCAGTTCTTTAACGTAATAAGACTGGCTTCTTTGTAGGGCACCCAGCTCTTCCCAGTAAGTTGCTCCGAAGTGAAAGCAGGATGGATTGGTCCATAGAATTTGGAAGCAGTTGTCTAGCAGGATTCTTTTCAGAAGCTCAGGTACCCTTTATGAGGAGCGTGGCATTCCCTGAAAAAAAAAAAGATCTTGTTTTTTTTTTCTGTAGCTTCCTCTTCTTTAGTGTGTGTGTGTGTGTGTGTGTGTTGAGGGGCAAGTGGCTTGTTAGTGCACCCTTGAGATGTCACTATGCTTTCTTCTGTCAGTTTTCACCCCATTTCTACTAGAAGGAGCAAAACTGACAACCTCTAGATTCCCAGAAGGAGCCTTTAGATCCCAGAGAGTGAAGTACATATTGTGACTCACTTTACTTAGGGAGATAGGTAAGAAATTCCTTAAATGCTAAAAGTAGAGTCCCTTCGCTTGCTCTCCAAAGCGAAGTATACAGATGTCAACAGCAACGTTGTTTCTACCATGCCTGTCCCAGCAGGAAAAAGGAAAAGAGATAGAATGCCTACTATGTATCAGGTCTTTTTACTATTATCTTGGTTAATTCCAGTGAGCAAGAAACCTGTGTTTCCAATCAATGGCAACAGAAACTTCAAATCTTGAGAGTATCTTTAGTGGCACCAGTGCCCTCTTCTCAGAGAATGATTGAAGGGACTCTTGATTCCTTGCATCAGGGGCTGGGAGCAAGCCCTGGATGGGAAACTGCTGTTTGGGGATCGTTCTGAGGCTCTCTGGAGAACAAGGCAAGTGCTGAGCATTTAGGGGTCCCCACTACTCACCCCTCACCCCTTATTGGGGGCACAGTCGCCTGAATCCCTGAGTGGCGCCATTGTCATTGGCCCGTTTCCTACGCCATCAGCCTGGGCAGACTCTTCTCCCAGAGAGCTTCGGATGACTATAAATCAGCTGTTACAGGCAATCAGACCACCCCCTGCGTCCACCCATCCCTCTGCTTTCCTCATCTCTGCCTCAGCACTGCATTTTACTCCCATTTACTGATCCCATGGTCTTAACATGAGTGACACATCGATTATGGCTGTTGGGAGGATCTGAGCCCTCATCAGAACAAATGGAGGGGCAAGAAATGAATACAGTTTTCACCACTGACCTTGATGAAATCTCCAGTATTGCTTAGGTATTTGATTCTTATTCTTGCTCTTTAACATGTACAACAGGATGCCAAAACACCAACCATCCTGGCTTCTTCAGTGTTGTATATGTTAGCCAGAGGGAAGTCTACCTCTCCAGAAAATATTTAGCTGAAATTGGGGGCAGGGGGGAAAGTCAGTCCACAAAATTTCTCCAGGTTTTAAATTAATACAATTATAGAATTTTAAAATATTTGTTTCATTTTGGGATTGTTATCCCTGTGTTTTGGAGTTTTGATGTGAAATATTTTCTTTTGAAGAGGGCAGCAGAGGATGAGATGGTTAGATAGCATCACTGACTACATGGATGTGACTTTGATCAAACTCCAGAGATACTGAAGGACAGGAAAGCCTGGTCTGCTGCAGTCCATAAGGTCACAAAGAGTCAGACACGCAAAGTGACTGAACATACATGCGTACATTTTCTTTTGAATTTGGGGAACCCCTTCTTTAAGAATGGAAAAAAATTAAGTTGGTGATTTTTTGTTTCCAATTAAAAATATAAACTGCATTCATTTATTTGACAAATAGTTATTGAGTATCTTCTGTGCCAGACATTGTTTTAGGGGCCTAGAGTACATCAATGAACAATGAGAGAAGAACATTCCTTCCTTTTATAGAGCTTACATTCTGGTAGAGGGAGGGAGAGGCAATAAAAAATGAACATTGCAAGGAATTTACTTCTATAATATGTTATATGGTGATAAGCACCATAGAAAAAGACAAAACATATCAGGTTAAGTGGATAGGAGTGCCAGACAGGAGAAGAGGACATTTGGTCCAAAGATGAGGAAGTTAGCCTTGTAGACATTTGGGGAACACCAGGCCAGCACATCTGGAGCAGAGTGAAGAAAGTGAAAGCGAAAGTCACTCAGTTGTGTCCAACTCTTTGTGACCCCATGGACTATACAGTCCATGGAATTCTCCAGGCCAGGATATTGGAGTGGGTAGCCTTTCCCTTCTCCAGAGGATCTTCCCAACCCAGGGATCGAACCCAGGTCTCCTGCATTGCAGGCGGATTCTTTACGAGCTGAGCCACAAGGGAAGTCCATGAATATTGGAGCGGGTAGCCTATCCCTTCTGCTGCAGCTCTTTCCAGCCCAGGAATTGAACCGGGGTCTCTTGCACTGCAGGCAGATTCTTTACCAGCTGAGCTGTCAGGGAAGCCGTAGAGTGAAGAAAGGGGAGGTTAACTGCTGGGAGCCAGGGCAGGTCGGTTCTTTTCAGCCACTGGAGGGACTTCAGCTTTTACTCTGAGTTGACATGGAGAGCCATCACAGAGTCTTGGTGAAAGTGTTAGTTGCTCAGTCATGTCCGACTCTAGCCTGCCGGGCTCCTGTGTCCATGAGCTTTTCCAGGCAAGAATACTGGAGTAGGGTGCTGTTCCCTTCTCCAGGGGATCTTCTTGACCCGGGGATCAAACCCATATCTTCTGCATTGACAGGCAGATTCCTTACCAACTGAGCCACCAGGGAAGATCCATGAACAAGTGGCTAGTGTGAGCTCACGTGAGAGGCTTTCTTTCGCTCCTGGGATCTTAATGTACCAAAACCAATGTCCTTGCTCCATGGGTCCAGTGTTCTACATGCAATATGTCACTAGGTCAAACAGATCTCACTGACCTTGCTGCTAAGCCATTGCTGTACGCACCTGATGTGGTGTTGGGACATCTGGGTCTACCAGTTGTTCACTCTGAAGTTCCTTAAACCAAGTTTTCTTGGTCAAATGCAGTAGTGTATGGCACCTAGGAGAAGGAGAGTGGAAGGTAATACATCTTTCCCCCGAAGCCCGAGGTTTGAGTACCTTTCTCATTGCTTCCAGCTGACACAGCCACAAACATAATTAGTGGTTTCACAATTATATAATCACATTGTCTGAGGCCTCCTTACCCCTTCACTCATAAATCTGCCTTTCTATTTTTCCATGACCTTCTTCAAGAATGCTACCCACCACCTACATAATGAACAAAGCCACAAGCCCAAGCCCTGGAGGACTTATATTGATTTGTAAGAAGAGAGAAGCTACCTCTTTCTGTTCTCATGGGTCTGGAAATAGACACCACATTTTTTATGCCACTCTGTGTCCTTTTGTAGCTCTACATAGTAAATCCATTAATTTATCTGTCTATTCATCCATTCACCCATTCACCAATCTTCCCATTCATTCATCTGCCCATCCAGCCATCTGCCAAATTTCTATTCATTGAGTGACTATTTTGTGCCAGGGACCATATTAGGAAGCAATATATTTCATGGTTAGATACATGGACTGTAGCCTCAAACTGCCTGGAGTTGAATCCTGGCCATGGTTTAGCCATAAAGTCTTGGGAAAGTTATATTGATTGAGCTTCAGTTTTTTCATGTGTAGGATGAGAACCACTAAAGATGTATCACAGAGTTGTTATTAGAATCACAAAGTTAATTGATCCAAGGCCCTTTCCTTTTGTCCTGGAGGAATAGCTTTTTTGTTTTGTTTTGCATTTAATCCTCTCTTCTTTCCTTTTTTCATCGGTTCACTCCTTACCAGTTCACCCAGCAGCTTATCAGAGACCCAGCTTGTGTTAAGTGTTCATGAGAGAGTTGTTTTTTTGGAAGAAATGGGCGGGGTAGATGCATCCCTAGCATCTAACACAGTGCTTGGCACATGCACTGTAGCCAGTATATTTTCTGTGGAACAAATTCAAGTGCCTCTCCTTGAGGAGTGTTCAGCATGTCTACAGAAGGCCAGCACCAGGTGTGAGTGTCACCAGAGCAGCCAGCCAAGGACGAGGAGCAGAGCAGGGACAATCGACAGACAGAGGGAGATGATCCTCCAGCTGCTTCTGCTGGCATGGAAATGTAAAGCCGTTTCTCCCTGCCACTGGCTGTTGTGTTCTGTGGCTTGATTTGTCTTCATGTCGGTGACTTGTCTGACATTTCTAGGACTCTGTCCTGATACCTGGTCTAGGCAGCTGGGGATCCCAGTGGGGAACAAAGTATGTCTCTGTGTGTGTTCCAGGAAGAGTTTAACCTCAGACAGACAGGCCTAGTTTGTTTTTTTTTTTTAAACTTCAAGGTATGTTTGATATTGGGCTTCCCTGGTGGCTCAGTGGTAAAGAACCCGCCTGCCAGTACAGGAGATGTGGGTTTGATCCCTGGGATGGGAAGATCCCTGGAGAAAGAAATGGCAACCCAGTCCAGTATTCTTGCCTGAGACATCCCATGGACAGAGGAGCCTGGTGGGCTGCAGACCATGGGGTTGCAAAGAGCCGGATGTGACTTAGTAGCACTGCAACAACAAGTGTTTGATATTAACTCTGGGTCATTCCTCTTCACATCTGATTGGAGTAAGGATAACAGCACTTGGTTTACAGGACTTGTAACTTTGCAAGATACAATGGTGGCACTTATGTTCAAACTTGCTGTGACCCATCTTAGTGCAAAGGCATGGGAAAACATTTAGAAAAGTGTCACATTTAGGATGATAATTATGTGGTGACTTCAGTGCCTGTGTGGACTAAAGATAAGGGACTCTAGAGCCAGATAAGGACTTCCCTGGTAGCTCAGTTGGTAAAAAAATCTGTCTGCAATGCAGCAGACCCCAGGTCGATTCTTGGGCTGAGAAGATTCCCTGGAGAAGGGAAAGGCTACCCACTCCAGTATTCTGGCCTGGAGAATTCCATGAACTGTATAGTCCATGGGGTCGCAAAGAGTCGGACACAACTGAACAACTTTCACCTCTCTAGAGCCAGATTGCCTGGGTTCAGATCATGGCTCTGTGTTTTATTAGTCATGTAACTTTGGGCAAGGCTTCTCTGTGCCTTAGTTTTATTGCTATAAAATGATATTTTAATAATTATAAGTTACTTCATTGGGTAGTTGAGAAGATTAAATGAGATATTTTTAAAGTACTTAAGTTATCAGCTCCTAAGAAGTGTTGAATAAATGTTTGCTATTATTTCTCTTCCTTCTCCTTCCCTCCTCTTATTCTTCTTTTAGTACTACCACATGACTATTTAGAATAATGTTATTATGAAGATTCAATTAGATAATCTTCGTGTAGGTAGGTCATTGCCCAGCACAGTGCCTGGCACAGGTAAGCCCTCAACAAATGTTAGTTTTCTTTCATATGGACCTCTCAAGTCTTCATCTTCAGTCTCGCAGGGATGTTCTCATCAATTTCATTAAACCTAATGCAAAATGACTGCAAGGAGATCCAACCAGTCCATCCTAAAGGAGATCAGTCCTGAATATTCATTGGGAGGACTGATGTTGAAGCTGAAACTCCAATACTTTGGCCACCTGATGCGAAGAGCTGACTCATTGGAAAAGACCCTGATGCTAGGAAAGATTGAGGGCGGACCAATACTTTGGCCACCTGATGCGAAGAGCTGACTCATTGGAAAAGACCCTGATGCTAGGAAAGATTGAGGGCAGGAGGAGAAGGGGGCGACAGAGGATGAGATGGTTGGATGGCATCACCAACTCAGTGGATGTGGGTTTGAGTAAACTCCGGAAGTTGGTGATGGACAGGGAGGCCTGACATGCTGTGATTCATGGGGTCGCAAAGAGTCGGACATGACTGAGCGACTGAACTGAACTGAAATGCAAAATATGAACTTCCCTGGTGGCTCAGCTGGTGAAGAATCCACTTGTAATGGAGGAGACCTGGGTTTGATCTCAGGGTTGGGAATATCCCCTGGAGGAGGGCATGGCAACCCACTGCAGTATTCTTGCCTGGAGAATTCCTATGGACAGAGAAGTCTGGTGGGCTATAGTCCATGGGGTCGCAAAGAGTTGGACACAACTGAGCGACTAAGCACCATGCAAAATATTCACATTTCTGGTGAAAGAAGAATCTCAGTTCAATTGGAAAAAAACTTAGTGTCTCTTCTCTTCCCACTGCTCCTTGAGACAGAATGCAGAACAGGTACTTGTTCATGACTCTGTATGATTTTGCGTTGAATGAAAATTGTAACTGCACTGAAGGTCTCAGTTCCAAGTGGGTGTTAGCTGGTGACTGCCTCAAGTTTCTTGTCATGCAGCTTTCCCTGCCATGGCAGTTGGCTTCATCATAGCCAACAAAACGTTGAGGTGAGAGGCAGAGGGGGCAGGCAGGAGTCGGGGAGAACTAGAGAAAGGGAGACGGCAACACGGTGGGAGTTGCAATCTTATGTAATCACAGAAGTGACATCCCAACATGTTTGCCGTATTCTGTTAGTTAGAAGTAATGTTCCAGTTCCACCCACACTCAAAAGGAGGTGATTATACAAGGGTGTAGCTATTAGGAAATGGGGACCACGGGGGGCCAGCTTTGTGTCTCTGCCACAGCAGGCCTGACCTCTTGGTTGTCTT